GAGACACACACAGACACCCCCCCCTCGCACACAGACACCCCCCCACGGCGGGCCCGACACCCCTCCCCGACACACAGATACCCCCAGGGGCCCCTCTAGGGCGGGGGAGCTGCTGGCCAAGGTGCTGCCGGGGGGGAGGGAGCCGCCCTTGGGGGGCTCGGGGGCCTTTTTGTGTGTGTGTGTGTGTATTTGTGTGTATTTGTGTGTGTTTGTGTGTGTTTGTGTGTGTTTGTCCCCTCCCCGCCTCACCTTCCCCCGGAGGGTGCCCAGAGCTCAGAGCCACTGCGCTGGATCTCCCCCAGGGAGGTTTCCCCCGGTGGGGTCTCGTGTCTGAGGCTTCCTCGGGGTGCCAAAGCTCCCGCAGCTTCCCCCCGGCGAGGTTTTCCCAGCGGGGTCTCACAGTTGGGTGTTGCCAGAGGTGCCACTCGCTGCTGCTTCACCTTTATCTCTCCTGGGAGGTCTCCCGGCGGGGTCTCATGTCTGGGCATTCCCAGAGGTGCCAAAACTCCAAGCCACGACGCTGCAGCCTCACCCAGGGGTGTTTTCCAAGCCAGGGGGTTCCCAGAGGTGCCAGAGCTCGGAGTTACTCGTTGCAGCTTCACCTGTGTCTCCCTGGGGAGGTTCCTCGGTGGGGGTCTCATGTCTGGGCGTTCCCAGAGGTGCCCACACGTTGCAGTGGGTTCAGCAGCTGGTGGAGCAGGAGAACATCTGGGCTGGGGGCTCAGCCTCTCGTGCAAAGGTTAAGAAAGTTGTTTTTCACGTGGTGATGGAGGTGCCCGTGGTGCAGGGTCTGCAGTTGGGAGCACATGAGAGCCAGGGGTTGTAGCAGGGAGGGATGTGAGCAGGAATTTGGGTGGGAGATGCCTGGAGCAGGGCTGGGTGGTCTGGTGGTGGTGGGACCACAGCAGGTACCCGGCTCACCTCTGACCTGTGGGATGAGAAGAGGAGCAGTAGTGAACTGAGATCCACGTGGGATGTGTCTGGGAACGCTTTCCAGGTGTTTGCATGCAGAGTACACTAAAGCACTGATTCCTGCAGTTCCAGCACGGTTGTGAGCCTGTTTTGAAGGGTTTTTTACAACCCTGCCCTCCCGAGTATGCGAAATTTTATGTGAAATACAACAATTATGTGTTTGTCAATAAAGAGGAGTTTGGGTCAGAAGAGGCTTTGAAGCTGCCTTGTGGAAGTTGTAGTAAGTGTGGTGGCCCATTTCTGTTTCTAGTTCAGTGAGGTTGATGTATGCAGAGCCTGGAAACTTGAGCAAGCTCATACAATTCAGATGTTAACTTTGCATAAAGGAAACAGCTGATAGGGAGCTCTGACTGGAATAAAATTGTCACAGTGTGCTGCTTATCCTGCTTGCAGTGAATCTCTACGTGAGAGCGGGGGGGGGCCTCGTTTTTAGACTTGCAGGGTTTGAGAAAATGCTGCTTGTGAAGAGGAACATCCCTTGGGTAGAAATTCATATTCAGGGTGACTGGTCTTGGGAGAATAATTCAGATATGCAAGAATTGCTTATAATTACTTAGTTTTCAGAAGTCGTTCACAGTGATGTGCCTGTGGGGTGACTGGCAGGGAAGGAGGGCAAACCAGAATAAGCTGAGAAGAGCAGCAGGTGATGAGTGTGTGCAGCAGGTAGAGCTGCTGGAGGTGTGTGAACAGCTCTGGCTTCTTGCTCGAACTTTTTCGAATGTTACAGTTCACAAAGGGGATTTTTCAGCCCTTGTTTCACGTGGCATTTTGATAAACAGAAATAACCAGTGTCTTCAAAGTATTATCACGCAGAAAGAGAAGAGGAATAGTGTGAAGACTTTTCTCTGCAAGTCTAACCAGAGGGAGATACTTCCCCATTGATTGTGGCTCTTTCTCTTACTCCTTTTGCTTTCCTTCTCCTTTTTCTCCTTTTTTTTTTCTCTTTGCCCCCCCCCATAATTCGAAGAGATTACATACAGGTAACTTCTCATGGAACCATAGATGCCCAAATTCATGTAATTACTGTAGCTATTTACTCAGCTTATCTTAATTGTCACCATCAGCTTACACAAGCCCAGTAAATACAGTTATCGGGAGGTCCCATCGTGGTGTTATAAGCAAAGCATCGAGGCTGAGCAAACAGCAGGATTGGGATCCTTAACTCCTGCAGGATTTTTGTTTGCTTTTTAAATTAAGACTAATCTTCCCATCCTTGCTCCCTGTGCAGTCTTTGAAAGCAGCTGTCACTTCATAGACACGAGGGAGCGTAGCTGAGAGCTGGGAAACTGGGAGAGTTTTGGAGCAGGTGAAGCAAAGGAAGGAGTTGCCCTGCAGTGAAGCTCTGGTGCACCTGTTAAATCTGCAGCAGGTTATAAGAAGTGATAGAAAAATAATTTCTAGAACAGAGTTAGAAAGACAGAATCCTGGGCTGCCTTGAAAATGTGAATAAGCTGCCTCCCTGGATGTTAATTTTTGCCACTTTGTGCAGTAGTTTTTTTTAACGAGTTGGTCTAAGGGTTCCCAGCCTACAGTGGGGTTCTTTAAAATACTTTCCCCAACATTCACTACCTAAATTAAATTGATTGTTTGGCCTCAGCCCTTCATAAATACTTTCAAAGCTACTCCTGCCCCATCTTCCCCCTTCCCCACCCAATTTTTAGCAGCTGCCCTCCATATTCTTCTGAGACCTCTTCTTCCATTCACCTGTTTTTTCTTCCTTCGCCTTTCTTCCTGTTTTACCCCTTTTTTCTTTTCAGTTTGGTTTTACTCCCCATTTACAGCTCTGAGGTACTTGGGCCTGGGTGACAAACCTGATGAATCCTCCTCTAATACTGTGTGCAAAGCCTTCTGCTGTTTAGAAGTAGTGCAGTATCAGTGGAAATTAATTTAATCAAAATTAACCGTGCTTTCAACAGATCTCCAAGCCCAACACACTAACGGTAGGAATCTCGAGATCTTTTATTGCTTCCACAGTGTGTGTTCCAAACTTTGCCTGTTCATTTGTAAAACAATGGCAATGGATAGATGAAAAATGCCGAAGTGATTAACATCTCACACCTTTGGCAGTGTGCACACATTAAAACCTTAATTGTTAATTGAAGTGTTCGCTGCAGCTCGTCATCAGTTAAGCAATTAAAGTTTACTTGTTGCTGCTTGTTCCCAACTCTTCCCAGTCCTCATCCTTCATCTGTTTAAAATCCTTCAGCTTTATTGCTGATGCTGCTTGTTTTGGCTCTACTGAGTCATATTGGCACTTGGTACCAGTTCTGTAGCTGGTGAAGTTTCAAGATGAATTCCACATGTGATTTGCTTTAACTTGTGCTGTCACATCAGCTGATGGATGCTGCCTCATGGATTCCCTGACAATGGCCCTGAAACACTGCATGTTCCTTTAGAATCAGGATTCTTTTTTTTTGGATGTAAATTGCTCTTTATCACCAGGCAGTACCTGGGCTGGCAGCCAAGAGGGTGCCAGGGAGGAGGGGTGTGTGTGTCTAATCTCCAAGTGCTCCTGAAATACCCCCAAGGGCAGAATTTCTGGGTCCCAGCACCCCTAAAATCCTCCTGGTTCCCCCTGCCACTGAAATCCTGACAGGCCTGATTTCCAGGGGCTTGATTTTTTTTTACTCTCCTGACAGCCAAATAAATTGTAGCAGTTCATTACTACCTCCAGGAATGTGGCTTTTTTTTTTTTTTTTTTTTTTTTTTTTTTTTTTTTTTTTTTTTTTTTTTTTTTTTTTTTTTTTTTTTTTTTTTTTTTTTTTAGGCTTTTCTTAAAAATCCATAATGATTCTTCCTGCTGATTTATTCTGGCACTTTTTTTTTTTTTTATAAGCTTCCTATACAGGATAAAGCATTTTCTTCTCCAGCTGCCCCGGAGGTCTGTATGTAACAAAGCAGCAGAGCTGCCTTTTATGACTTGAACTTAAATCCAGGTCTCAAGTCTAATTTAGCCTACATTTAAATGTGTTCTACTGTGTCAACCCCCGTGGTACACGTGGCTCCTTCAGCTTTATTTGGTGTTCTGGACACTGGTGTTTTCAGGCTGACAGTGCCCCTTGTTTCAGCACCACAATGCTGATTGCTGATTATATATCCCCGTGCTTCAGCTTCCAGAACTGCTGGAAGGATTTTCTGGTTTGTCTTCCTTTCCTTACATTTCCATGGTTCAGTAAGGGATATATTCCATGCCAAGACCCTGGGTAAGGAGTCAGGGAGGTTTCCTGGGATTCTTTACATTTTTCCTCCTTTCCAAACATTCAGTTGGCAAGGATTTCCCAGGATAGTTTCCAGTGCACATACCACATCCCAGCAGTCCTCTTTTCTCCCTTGCTGTGCTCATTCTGTCCTGCTTCTTTTGTCCACTAGTCAGAATCTTGTAAAGATGTATTTGTGTGTTTGCAAATATAAAGCTTTTTTATTTGCAAGTCTCCAGCATTCTCGGTGCTGTGTTGGATGGGTAACCTGCAGGTGGGGGTTGTTGCCTGTTTGGTAATTCCACACAAATGCTAAATTTCAGCTTTCTGAAGCCTACCTGTGTGTTTTGGCACCCACTCCATTGTCTTGGATGAGTCAGGCTGCAAAATGAAACATGCCATCAGTTCTGCCAACATTCCCTTTCCAGCCCTTGGGCCTTGCTGATAATAGTGGGATAGAATGGAGGCTTAATTTGCCACCAGTTTGGGTTTGGGGTGCATGACTGGTGCCTTTTCTAGTGATTTTTTTGCACTATTTTTGCCTCGCAGCAAGCACAGTGATCTGTTTCGGGGGCAGTAAAAAGAGAACAAAGAACAAGAGAGGGGGGGGAGAAAAAGGAGGGAAAAAAAAAAAGAAAGGAAATGGCATCTGGCATTTGAAGGGGGAGGAAGAATAAGGAGGAAAATGATTTGTTTGAAAATGCAAAAGGGGGAGCACAGCCACCGTTGGGTTATGAATAAATCTTTATATTCAGTGTACATTAGCAATCAATTGACCTTTCAGAGAATTTGCAGCGCTGGAATCACTCCACTCCTCCCCGTTCTGTGCCCTGCTCCTCTCGTGGATGTGTCCATCCTTCCCTCTTTCCCTTTATTACCCTGCAGGATTAGATGCCATATGCTGGTTTACAGGGAGAGCCCTGTCCTTAAACCTCTGCCAGGTCACCGAGGCCAGATTTTTTGACATGTGTCAGAAAATTGGATAACCCAGATTTTAGGTGTTTATCTGCGAGAATCTTTGCCTGTATTAAGGAACCAAGTCAGAATTATAATTGGCATCGTGGAATATGTTTGAGCCTCTCCAATAAAAAAGGTTACAGAGGTTAAGGAAGCATTTCAGCCTGGGGAGTGTCATCTGGGAGTGGGGGCGGTGATCACAACTGGAGAAATGTGTGATGTGCCCAGAGAGATCAATGACTGTCAGAGGTTCCCAGGCACCGAATGGCTGGTGCTGGATTCCAAAGGAGATGGATATCAACGGGAATGCCCGTGTCTGGAAGGAGTCAAGGCACTCAAGAGCAAAGATGCAGTACAAGTGGCTGGTAGGAAGCAGAGGAAGGGAGGAGGCTGTTGCTAAATTTTGTGAGTTGTTTCATTCATGTGATGCTGTTTGAATGGTGCTGTGTGAGGCAGAACAGCAGCAGAGGATCAGCCTGTCAAACCAGGGCCCCGTGCCTGCTTCTCTTGGGGTTTAATTCCTGCTGGATGTGTTTCAGCTCTCACTAATTTAAGCCTTCACTGGCGAGGTGTCAGTTCACTTGTAAATGAAGCGCTGGGCCGCGTTGCTTGCCAGCACGGCCAAACCTCGGCGTGCAGCACCCCGTTAGGGATGCAGGGATGCTGAGATTTGTGAGCTTTCCTCCTCTCCCAGGGCTCATTCCCTCTGCAGACTGCAGAGTGCGGCAGAGGCACCGAGCTGGATGTCACCAGGCTGCCGGTGGCACCAGGGGGGAGCTCTGCAGTTTGGAACTCCGGCCCCTTTGGAGGGTCCTGATGCCCTCAGGCTGCCACCAAAGTCAGATTTTTAAGCTGGGCTGGAGTGTTGTGACCCTGCAGTGCTGTGGCTTTAACTGGAGGGGGCTGATGTAAAAAAAACCACAACAATTCATGGAGTGTAGTACCTGTAAATTGATTTCTGTGAATGTCTGGTGTGGACTCAAAGAGCTCAATGCATGTGTAGAATATATTACACAGCAGTGAATGTGTTGCCGAGGCCAACATAAGTGGATGAACTCTTTTATAACAAAAGGAGTAACTTTCCTGTGTCTTTGTGCTCATGGAGTTCTGAATTGCTCTGGAGTCCTTCAGATGACTGGGAAGCAGCCTCTTTGATGTTGTTGGCAAAAACCTTGTTCCAAACGTTGCGTTGTGAAAATTCCACTTTAAAAGGTGGTAAATGTCACCGTGGCCCCTGGATGGATATGAATTTAATATTAGAAATCACTTTAATGGCTGTATTACAGAACTCTTATTCAGCAAATGCTTTGGCTTAGAGTGGCACTTAACAGTGGAGAAGCATTAGTTCTGACAGGCCTAATTTGCTTGGAAAAGTATAGTCCCCTCATGGATTTCAGTGGCAGGAAAATAAACAATGGCCATCAGTTTAACCCAGGAAAAAGGTGCCCGCAGAACACAACTGCTTTTCCAGCAGAACAGGCAGAACTGAGGATTGCCTGGCTGTGATGCTTTTAGATATTTCCTCAGATCTTCAGAGCTGCACGTGCACAATCCCCCAGTGTGGTCAGTGTGGGCACAGTGGTGCCTCTGCACCCAAATGCTTTCATTTCATGCTAAAATTTAATTAATAAATCACCTGTAATGTCGAAGTGTGCTCTGAATGCAGCTGCTTTCTATAGATTTCTGTTGAAGATCTGAACTTCAGATAAACAGAGAGCAGCAGCATGTCAGGCTTTATCTGCCAGGGCTTGGCCATTTAAGGTTTCTCTGGTGGGTTTTGGTTGGTTGGATTTTGTTGTGGGTTCCTTTGCTGAGTTTGAAGGTTTTTTTTTTTTAGTACTTCTACTGTAGTTCTGTTCTTCTCAAAGAGTAATTTTTAACCAAGTGGCTGGGAATGGTTCCAAAAAAAACTGGAAAAAAAAAAGCAGCACCTTAACTTTTCCAAATGTGTGTCTGTGTCATTAATTTTGCTTCCATTAAATTAAAGTGCTTCCTGTAGCCTCTTGCTTTGTTTTCTCAGTGCCATTCCGTTGATAAGGGTCGCTTTCAGGCACATGCAATCAGTCTTTGATTCCCAGGAAATCAAAGTGTTCTCCCAGTCATGGGATCTGCAACCTGACCTTGTGTGACAAAGTAACGTGAGCGATAACTGCACAAGGAGTTCAGTTGTTCCCGAAGCTCTGCTGTGCTCCCCAACACTTTCCATGGAAGTTTTCTATTTTCTATCTTATCCCGAGCTCTGAACAACTTCCTAAAAAAGCCCCGTGTCCATGAGCAGCCCAGAAACTTGATCCTACCTGGCACTGGGAGTGCAAACCCTTGGCAGCTCATCAGTGAACATTCCAGGGCAAAGTTCTCCTGGTTTTGCTGGTAGAAGAAGTTGCTAAAAGGAAAAACTGCAAAATAAAAATACCTTTTTTTTTTTTTTTTATGTTATAACCCAGTTGAATGCAGTGAGGTATTGAGTGACGTGCTGGGTCTCTGGGTTTTGGGGGAAAAGGGGTTTTTGCTGCTTCCTTTTTAGGAGAATGGATTGGGCTGATCCCTCAGGTGTTAGTGGGGTACGAGCTCAAAACATTTTTGAGCCATCGGTGGTTCCAAATGCAGGGCTAAGAATATGGAAATGTGGCTTTGAAATAATTTTAAAAAATTTAAAAAAATATAAGTCAGACTGCCTGGTCTCAAGTCTCTTAATTGTTCTTTTGTTATTTGTTTGTTTTAATGGATCCACTGACATTAATACAGATGTTTTCAAACATGACACTGACAACTCAGCATCAAAACAGGCTTCCTAATTGCTATAGTTATAGGCTTAAAATACATCTCAATCTATTGGTGTTAAATGTGGAAAAGGAGGGAACATCTGCAGTCTGGTGAGGAGGGGGAACACAGAAATTTCTGAGCTCCCAAGTGCAAGGGAAACGTTTCAGCTGATCCCAAACTTGTTGGCAGGGCCTCACTGTGTAAAAAATGCTCTGGAGAGCTAAAGGGAGATTGGTGCTGGGTGTCTTGTAAGAGCAGTGAGCCTTCTGTTTATGTGCTGCTTGAAGAATAAATGCAGTTAAATACTTGACTTCATTAGACCAGGCCTGATTTTAATAATTTAATATTTTAATATTAAATAAAAATAAGATATTAAATAAAAATATTATAAATTTTTATATTTAATAATAAACCCACTTATTTTACAAAATTATTTTGGATGAAATCTCTCTTTATGTATTATGGGGTTTATTCCTGAGTGTGTAATTTAAAAGTAAATTTCTCTGGTGGAAATACTGACCTGAAAATCCCTTTTTCCTTTTTTTTCCCCCCAGTACTTTCCTGTACCTGAAGTTCCTGGTGGTGTGGGCCCTGGTGCTGCTGGCAGATTTTGTCCTGGAGTTCAGATTTGAGTATCTGTGGCCCTTCTGGCTCTTCATCAGGAGCGTTTACGATTCCTTCCGATACCAGGGTTTGGTGAGTGCAACACAAAGTCACTTTGAGGGGGAACCTCCCAGCTTTCAGGGGATGTCCCTTGTTATACAAGTGACTTTTAATGGCACTGATGATCCCCTTCACAAGATTTTCAAGTGACTGAGTGCCCTGGGCTCAGGTCTCTCCTCTCTGGCTGCAGATTTGATCTGTGGCAAGTGCAGGTGAAATATTAATCAAAATTTCTCCATGGAAAAATATTGTTTAAATTCCTAACTTGGGTTTTCTTTAAAATGAAACAGAAATTTGCCAGTTTATAGATATTTACTGCTTTTCCAGAGAGTAAAAGGCCCTGATAGTGGGGTGGGTGGGTGGTTTCTTTTCTAGAAGGAGAATACACCTGTGATTCTACTCTGTATCAACAGTGTGAATTAAAGTCTTCAAACAAAATAAGAAGGGATAAATTTAACTCTTGGGAGACTTGTTGGAAGAGTGGATGGACACAAATTTGTACCTATTCTCTCTTAATTGCTCAAGTTTCTCCTTTCCTTGGCCAAACTGCTCAGGGTTTTTTTTCCCCTTGATTATAACCAGCGCTAGTGTTTCTATGTGGAAATCATTGTTTCAGCATTAATAAACTGGTTACTTTTCCTGGAATAAACCCACCTACTCTTCTTTCCCCCCCGCCCCTCTTTTTCTTTTAGGCCTTTTCAGTATTTTTTGTTTGTGTAGCATTCACATCCAATATAATCTGTCTGCTCTTCATACCAATACAATGGCTGTTTTTTGCTGCCAGCACCTATGTTTGGGTACAGTATGTCTGGCACACAGGTAGGTCACTGTTCTTTATTTACAACTTCCTGACTCACAGCTTTTAGGAACGTGCCTTTTAGTCCACATCTGTTTTAGTCCTGTTTTGTTTCAGTTAAAAATGTTCTCTTTTGCTTTTAGGTTTGCACTTGTTGCACGTCTGGGGTGCATTTTAAATAGTCAGTAACTGAAGGGGTATAAACAGGAATTCCAGAGCACAGTGTTATCTTCTTCCTACCAGTCAATGAGTGGGCTATTCAGTTATTAATATTAAAATATTAGTTGTTTTAGTTGTCCTGGTTTAAATTTGTATTAGCCAAATCTTTGTGTCAAACAGACTGAGTTTCTGAGAAAAAGGCTTGGTAATACCAGTGCTGCCCTGACAGTTTGAGACATATATGGAGGATTCTTCTCCCCACCTCTGCTGCTCTTTTTTTTTTTTAACTTAGTTGTTTTGGGTTTGTTCTAATAAATCCTGGGGTTTGGATGAAGCAACTGAGCTGGGGAGATGGTTTAGTTTGCAAGAGCGCTATTGTATGGATTACATGTATATCTTTCCCTAAATAAAAAAAAAAGAAAGGGAATAAAACTTGATTTTTTTTTTTAAATTTGTTTTTTTTTTTAAAGGTAGCTTTTCACTACCCAAATTCTTGGGATTTGAGGCTTCTGTAATATTTCCTGTTAGACTTGCCAGGAGATCCCAGGGTGGTGTGGATCATTTCTCAGTCAGCTTTCTGACAACTTAGTCATTTCTAATAATGGCAGTGTGGGAGCAAATGGAAGATACTGTGAACCAGTTGCTGCCCAATTTCAAATACGTAGAGAATGTGGAGTTATTTTTAGAATTGTATTAATGTGTTAAAGCGTTATCTGAAGATGCTCAGGGTTGATGCTTTTACAAACCCCAAAGGTAAAACCTGATGGGCCAGTTTTATCTATTGCTACTGAGATTGTTTAATATGCTAATTCATGACAGTGTTAGGAATTTTTAAATGCTCATTTAAGTCGATGGGAACTTGCTCTTTTTTTAAGTTATGATCTTTTTAGGTGGAACCTTTAAGGTCCCTTCCAACCCAAACCATGCTGGGATTATTTTTCTGAAGCTCCCAACTGGTGCTGATTTGTGGAAATCTTCACCACCAGTGGTATTTTCCATTGGCCAAGAGCTTTAAGACCTTGGTTTTTCTTGACCCCTCTTTTTTTTTTTACATTCTCCCCACTAGTGCTGGAGGGATTAAGTGACTCCAGTGTCCCAAGTGTTCCCTGGTGGAGAGTTCTGAGTTGCAGAGTGTTCTCTGCATGCCTGTATATGGAGTACCCAGTGCTGGGCTTACTCACTGTTTTCTCAGCTGATTTGCTCACTGCTGCTACTCAGATATACCCAACTTGGGAGTGAGAAAGTAGTCCAAGCTCACCACTTCTGACTCAAAGATCATAAGCTGTACCATTACCTCATCCTGTGCAGTTTCTTCCACTTGTGTTCCCCGTGCCAACCTATTTCATTAGCTGTGCATCTGTTATTTTTCACTGAGGCCTTATAAAAGTAATAAACCAAGATAAGGAATGAGAGGTTTGCATTGGTCTAAAATAGAGATGGCCTAGATACTTTATTCTGAAGGGAAGACCTCTTAAAGTTCCCTATATATCTGTCTGAAAATTTCCCTTTACTTTTGGAATGTTTTAAAGACAACTTTACAAGCAGCAAATATTTTACTGTGTTACTGAATTGTTTCTCTCTTGGTTTTTTGTGTTTTTTTTTCTCCTAATAGAGAGGGGGGTGTGCTTACCAACAGTATCACTGTGGATACTTTTTGTTTATATTGAAGCAGCCATTAGATTTAAAGATTTAAAAAATTTCCACGTAGACCTTTGTCGTCCATTTGCAGCACACTGGTAAGTGGGGCTTTTTTTTTTCTCCTTTTCTTATGAACTTTTATTTCACCAGGAAAATTAATAATTTAATATTAAGTTATTTCTGTTTTGGTTCAGAGTTTGGCTGTTCAGTTCTCCCCTCACACAACTGTCATTAAATATTCCATGAGAAATGTAGGTAAACATGAACCCAGGGTAGCCCTTCTGAGGATACAGTGTTTGTGAGCTGGAGGGAATTTGTAGCACGGATATTCCAAGCATTTCTTGAAAATTCCTGCCATCACTTTACAGAGTTTGTGTTCACCTTTTATCACCTGATAAAAGTTACAAAAGAAATAGGTTTCCCTGATAATTTATGAAATTGTTGTGGAAATCTTCTTCCTCTGTGACAAAGCACTCTGCTCTTTTCCCTGAGAAAGGTTCTCATGAGTGCCTGATTTAATAATGCACCTGAAGCTGTGAATAAACTTCATGTAGGAAAACATGACAGAAAATAAAACAGGAAAAAAAAACCCCAAACACTATTTATCACAACTCTTCTTTGAAAGTGAGAAGATTGATTTCAGGAAAAAGTCTTAAATGCAGAGTATCCACCTCTGGAAGGAATGCACTTTTATTCCACAGTGTTTGGTGTAGGATGCACTGATCCACATTTAAAAAGTGTCCTCTTTCTCCTGGAATCCTTTGGTCCCGTTCCCTGTGATACTCCTCCCGTAAATTAGACATCAGTCATTTTAATTTATATTGTCTACACTGTGCCACAGATCCCCTTAAACACCAATTACACTCCACAGCAGGTTACAAAAGCACTTTAGGAGCTGTGAAGGAAGGGCTTTCAGCTGCTGAATTGGATGCGAACATTTGAGCTTGTCATCAGGAGTTTGGGAGCTGCAGCCACAGCTGGTCTGACACGGCCTCACAAAAGAGGCATTGGCAGAGATAGTGGTAGATGCAGATGCAGACGGTCCTGGCAGCTCACTTAGAAATACAATTTGCACAGGGCTGTGGCTGAGCAAAGAGTGAGAAGATTTTAATGGTTAACAGTCATCTGTATCAGTGATTTAGGACACCTTCAGTGTCAGACGTGTATTTATTTTTATTTATTTCTGTTTGCTCCTCGATGGAGCGCCTCTGCTGATAGATACCCTGCGTGATTTGTTAGCATTCTGTGTTGGTGCAGTTGTCACGAGCTAATAAGAACATTTAAATTCTCTGTGATGAAGCTGATATGCAAAAAATACGATTCCAAAGTTCTGTCATTCCCATCAACGAACGGAACAGCCAAGCCTGGCTGGAAGTGAAATCCTTCATGTCTTACCTGTCAGTGAGAGAAGTGGAAGAGCTAAGTTTAGAGATTAGATGTTTTTTGCCTCCAGCCTCAAGGTCAGCCTCCTAAATGAGGAATCTCCGTTCCCTAGCCCTTCAGAAACAGAACTGGGGATCCTCTGCTGTGTTTGCTGCTATTTCCTTCAAAGATGTGGAATTCTAGTCTGGTGCTGGTCTCAAAGCTGCCTTTGCTATGCCTGGTGCAATTGCACTGTTGTAATCCTTTAATCTACGCTGCAGTTAATTGCTGTCTGTAATGAACTGTCATTTTGTCTCGATAAAGAGCTGCCTGCATTTGTGAACTGCAGCTTTACTGTGGTACCTCAGAAACCATTTTATGTATCATCGTCCCTGAAAAGTTGTAATCCACACGTATCCACTTAGGTGGCTACAGTTTGAGTAATAATTGCCTTTTCTGTTGTTGTTGTTGTTTCTTTAGTATTGGCTACCCTGTTGTGACTTTGGGCTTTGGCTTTAAAAGTTACGTCAGCTACAAAATGCGTTTAAGAAAACAGAAAGAAGTGCAGAAGGAGAACGAGTTCTACATGCAGCTCCTGCAGCAAGCACTGCCCCCAGAGCAGCAGATGCTGCAAAGGCAAGAGAGGGAGGCAGAGGAAGGCAAGTTACACTCCTTATTTAATGTGTTTTCTATTTTCTGCTCTTCAAAGAAAAGACAAACACCAAACGTGCTAAGGAAGAGCTGCTCCAGCCCCTGGTGCTTGGCTGGAAGTGCAGGGAACTCAGAAAGAGCCAAAAATAAAAGAACTTTGGCGGTGGTTAATATGACAGGAGGAGTGAATTATGTGCCCTCTGCCTAGTTCTTTATTAGCAACTGCATTAATCTGGTCAGGCAGTGTTCTGGGAGGCACTAATATTTATTATTAAATCCCTTGGTTACTGTTTCCTGCCTGTAATGAAGGAAAAGAAAAAAAGTCTTGGAGCACCATGTGGCTTCAGATTTTCTTTCCTAGATAGTCTCCAGTAATTATTGTTTTCTGCAGGAATGATTGACATGTACATAATGATTTTTCTTTCTGTGTCACAGTATTGATTGATTTAATGAACTAAGTCTTTTTTTTTTTGTTTGTTTATTTATTTCTCACTTTTTGGTGTTGCAGCAGCCAAAGGATTATCCGATATGGATTCCTCAATACTCCTGCAGCACAATGGAGGCATTCCAGCCAATAAAAAAATATCCTCAACATTGCCAGAGCTAGAATATAGAGAAAAAGGGAAAGAAAAGGACAAGGACGCGAAGAAACACAACCTTGGAATAAATAACAATATTTTGCAACCTGTAGACTCTAAAATACAAGAAATTGAATATATGGAAAACCATATCAATAGTAAAAGATTAAATAATGATCTCGTAGGAAGTACAGAAAACCTCTTAAAAGAGGACTCATGCACTGCCTCGTCCAAAAATTACAAAAATGTCAGTGGAGTTGTGAACTCCTCACCTCGCAGCCACAGTGCAACCAATGGGAGCATCCCCTCCTCATCCACTAAAAATGAGAAAAAACAGAAATGTGCCAGCAAGAGCCCGAGCACACATAAGGACTTAATGGAAAATTGTATTCCTAATAACCAGCTGAGCAAACCAGATGCACTGGTAAGGTAAGTTTGATCTGAGCATTGTGTAATGCCCGGGTTTATCCTCCCTGCGTTTCAGTGCGTTTTTAATCAGTAGATTTTTAATTTTTTTTTTTTTTTTTTTTTTGCCTTAGAAAAATGTAATTCGTGATGTCACAAAACGGAATTGTTTAGCCATGGATTAAGATCCCTAAAAGCTTTTGGGCCTTTTGGGTTCTGCTCCTGATTTTTTTGTTTGATAGGCAGCCCTGAGCAAATGGCTCCCTTTCTACCTCAGAACAGGATGCTCTCCTACCTCACAGGGGTGTTGTGGGGCACAAAAATTAGCTCTGATTCGTTGATAGAAGACATGAGAGAAACATGGAAAATCATCTGTTCCCAACAGCTCTTTAGGAGTGACCTTTAACTCCCTAGAGAATTCAGTGGGGTTTGATGGTGTCTGAACAGGTGTTTTGTCTTAGGGTTTTTTTTTTTTTGGTTTGTTTTTCCTTTGGGAATGCTTGGCTTTTGTTTTCATCTTCAGTTCACAAGTGGAGAGGCAAAGGCTCAGTCACGGGGGTAACTCCTTGTGGTGCTGAGCTCAGGCTCTTTCTGCCTTGTTGCTTCAGGAACAGGTCACAGGGATTTAATTTAGCTGCCTTGTAAACGGGGGGAAAAGTCACATCTTTACATCAGCTCATCCGAAGTTTAAAAGGAAGATGAATTTCTGAGGTGCAGCTCAGTGTTTGCAGCATATCCTGAGACATATGGTGTTGTCATATGTTACCAGAACAGTGCTGGTAAGAGAGAGGTGGGGTGTGACTGTTCACAATGGGATGGGGAGATGTCTAGAGCAAAACTGCTGCACAATCATGCACTTTCCCACCATTTTCCACCTGGTTTATGCCTCTCTTAATTCCTTTCAAACACTCTTTGGCCCAACAGATCCTTGGTGCCCAACCTCATTGGCAGATCCAGGTTTGTTCTCCCTGCAGGTACCTTTTGATAATTGGACTTCTGCCTCTGATTTGTCCCTGAGGATTTGTGCTGTGGGAATACAATCACTTCAGTGAAAATGTTGTATTCCCCTTTGATAATCACACTGCCACTGATTGACATATCACTGCCAATTAAACATCCAGACTAATTGATACCTAAATGTCTGTAGAGAAGCTTGCATGCAGCAGATAAGAAGCCAGCTAATCTGTGAATCAAATTCAGCCAAGATTAATGGGATGCAGATGGCTCTGCCTTCATCAGGGCTCCACTTAAATACCCCTGTACAGGACTACTGGGTTTGTGTGTTCCCATTTTTCAGCTGGGCATTTCAGGACTCTTTATATGGCTTGTTTGCTTACTGAACAAGAGAACAGGTCAGTTCAGTTTGCTGCAGCTCAAAACATCATTCCTAAGTCTTGAGAAAAGAGAAGGGAAGGCCTTTATAGGATGACCTGCCACACTAAGAATTTTGTCCCATGTAGCTGTGACAAGGAAGGAGATTTAAACCTTTTATGTTTAAAATTTAAATTGCACATGGAAATCTTGATATGCTCCAACGTGAGCTTAGGCCAGGTGGTCACTCTTTGCCCAGAGTGGGTTTTCTAATGCAGGAGTGAGGATACAATAAACTAGACGGTGTCCTTGTAGAGAATTCCAGCTCCTGTAACTCCCTGGGTAAGGACAGAGCACACAGTTGCCTTTGTACAGCGTGGCCTCACCCTGAAAGTGAATTAAACTACTCCAGTCTTTTGTTTGTCAAGTGTTTTTATGGGTGTGATGTGGCTGTTGTGCTACAAATTTATTTCCCTGCTTATTGTGCCCCGATTTCCCCGAGCAGGCAATCCAGGAGCACTGGGAACACCAGCAGCCTGTGCTCCCAGTTTGTTCCAAACGAGGATGAGCGAAAAGCATTCATGAAATCTTGTTTCTGTTCAGATTGAGCGTGCCAATGGAAGTAGAAACTTAACTGGCAAATTGGATGGGATGGAATGCACTTAAATTTAAAAATTCATGGTTGTTTTCCTTTGAACCCTGTCAATTATCCTGTCCCCGGAGCGTGAGGCATTCGTTCATCATCTTTCCCACTTCCAGCAGTGTTACTTGTTCCTTTTATTAAACTTTTAGGCTGCATCAGTTCTGTACCCTGAAAAGGGCTGAGTGAAGTCCTGCATTTGTGCCCGACTTTCAGATCAGATCTGCTCAGCTTCCAAATAAAGATGCT